ATGGCCAAAAGTAATAAAAGGAAAAAAAGATATAAATTTATCTTTTGTATACTTTGAATTCGTTTCATTGTTGTAACATTTGATGAATTACAACTAATTAATCAAATGTTACAACTTAATAGTTAGCTTAACTCAATAGTTAATTTTATTATTACTCTAATTTTTAAGGAATGTTTCAGAATGCACCAAGCATAGCTACAAATTCAATAAATAAAGTAGACAGATGTCGATATTTTCGTGACGTTGGGATATAGTGGTTAGGGGTTCGAATTCCTTAGCGCCCAATGTCTTTCTAAAATCAATCAAGAAAAATTCACAATTTTAGTATAAATCGAAATGAACTCTCAACTATTTATTATTTTTGATGAGGTTCAGCTTACAGAATCTAATAGAATAATTTTATACTCTCAAAATTAGAAAAGATATTTTAATTTTGAGCCTGCGAAACTTATTCGAGTCAATTTCACATTATGACGTTAATAAGGTTACGTTTTAATAGAGCTTAGGTCCAAACTGAATTAGCTTTACGTCAAAACGGCACTTTCCAAACTTAATTTTTTTACATAAAATTAATTATATAGTAAATTTCGTGGCAATGTTGTTTAAAATTATTCTAGAAGTGTTTATTCCATTTAGTTATTAACAAAAAGTTTCCGAAGTTTTAAAAGTTCCAATACAATGTGCTGGTAGACTATAGTAATTAGGTAGGTAGGTAATAATTCCATAGTTGATAGCAAAAGTAAGGAACGAATAACTGAAACCAAATACATATAATTATGTGCTAATATCTAAAGATCATAACGGACCTATGGTATGTATATAGTAAAAGTGAATCGCTCACAGTCATGCAGGTATCCAAACGGTTATCTAAAAGCAGTCACTGCCTTTAGATAACCGTAATATAACGTAGCTTGGTAATGTATGTACATTACCAAGCTACGTTAGATGAGAACGCTAACGTAGCTTGGTAATGTATGTACATTACCAAGCTCCGTTAGCGTTCTCATTGTCCGGACGCAACCTGAGTGCGAACCCCGGTGCCGGTACCGATGAAATTGTTAATAAGTGCTTAATTATCACGTGCACAGCGGTGAAGGAAAAAATTGTGAGGAAACCTGCATATTTTCGAAATAATAACCAAAAAAAATTTCGAACATATGTGAAGTCCGCCAATACGCTGGGGCCACGCGGTGGACTATGTCTTGGTACCCTGTGCACAGAAATCTTTACCCAGCAGTGGGACATTTATGCCTATAATTTGATACCTGAGTCGATTAAAGGACACAGTACAAACTCAGCAACTGTCAGGCAACTGTTGTTAATGTGCATATTCAGGACAAGGCGAAAAATTTCTCTGACGCTCTTCCTATCAAATTTTCCATCATCATTAGTTGGAGAAGCTCGTATACCACGTGCCTAAGATACCCTAGCTATGCTGCTTTAAGCTGCTTGATGATCGGCAAATCTCTCATGTCTCTTAGCTGATTGGTAGGGCCACGCAACAGCTTCGGCTGGGTAAGGACCACGACCTCACAGAAGACCAGCGTGTAGTGGAATGTTATAATTCTGCGTTTCGTGTGGTAAGGTTGCCGGGGCTCTGTTTATTAAAAGGTGGCAACGCATCTGCAACTTTTGAGTGTTTCTAATGGCCATGGGCGGTGGTTCTCACTTAAGCATCAGGTGAACCGACAGCTCGCTTGCCGCCTTCTCACATAAAAAAAGTTGCGGTTGGTTAGCGCTACGCCGTTTAGAGTAATAATTATTTATCATAAGTAGAAAAAGAAGGCTGTTTTTATGGCTTCCTTGCGGTCTCATGATCATCTGATGATGATCCGCGGGATCTGATATCAGTGGTCAAAGAACTCCTTAGGTATTTTTATTCCAAAAATATTGGTTCTCTTCTCCAGCCATATAGAAATATACTCGTAAGTTTTTATAAAGACAAATCAAAAATCAAAATCAAATCATTTATTCATCGAAATAAGAAATATATACATTTCATTTATCGATAGACATTTTTTAAATCTACCACCGTTTCGTAATCAGGTTCCTCTAACGGAGAAGAAACAGGCGATAGAAACTCCTCTTTATCCTCTTTTTTGTCATTTTTTTTCTCAAACTAATACATTGTTATACAATTTTTTAGAAACAGCTTAGGGTCATCTCATTCCCAGGGGTTATTATCTTTAATGTATTCATTTATATTATAATAACCCTTTTAAACAGTTTTTTAAACAATAAATTTCTTGAACCTGTTAATGAATAGGCTTTGCACATTAACTGAGATTTTGTTGTAGAAGCGTATACACCGTCCCATGAACGAGTTACTGACTCTATAGAGTCTAGTAACTTGAGATTATATGTCCACCTATCACTAGCCCGTTCTGGTTAAAAAAATTTTCTTGCAACTTTTAATTTATATATGTGTTGACAGCTACAATAAGATTTACTACATACATTTTCAATAAATAAATTGTGACGCCTACTAATCTAATACAAGCAATATACTATTCTGCATCATTCGCTTCCAAATTTCAAAAAGATATTGCTTTTAACTATAACTCTTTCCACTTTCTGTCAATTCGATTTTATCATTACAATTCCTTTAAATAATATTCGATGATGGTAAGATACTCGCTAGATTAAAATAATACATACTAATACTAACAGCCCGCCCCGGCTTCGCATGAATGCAATGTAGTATATTGAATTTTTCGGCTTTTCTCTATTATAATATGTATACGTGTAGTATACATACATTCTTCTCTTCTTCTCATATATTCTTACTTCAGCGTAAATCACTCTATCTATTGCTGAAAACCTTAGTGATTGGTTGATGAAACTTGATTAGTTTAAAAAAGGTTTATTTTTTTAAGGGAGTAAAAAACTATAAAAGGATATAAACTGTGTCTGTCGATTTAAAAATAAAACATTTTTTTAATCTTATTAATATCAAATTCCTAGATTCAAATAACATTCAGGTAACGTTTATCTTAAAATAGAAAGAAATAAATAAACTCAAGTATATGTAAATAATCTTTAATATATCAAATAAGCCTATCATCTATTCTACATTTTTAAATCTTTTTTAAATGTTAGTTATAGTATGACTTATTCATTGGAATAACTTTTCTTGATTCTCGCTTCCACATTTCGTCAACATGTGAAAACATTTGAGCATAAGAAAAAAGTGGAGACAATTGTTACAATGAATGAGAAAGGACATAGGCTATTTTATTTTTAATTGGAAAAAAGTGTTATAAAGGATTGAAAGATATTTATTGAAGGGCTTCATCACGAGCGAGCCGCGGGCGAAAAGCTAGTACTGAATAAAGAAATTTTAATTGTGACTTTGACTTTGAGAAAGATTATTGAGCGGCAGCCTCGTATTCGCCATCGCAGTGTTAGACGAACCCCAACTGAATGGAGTAATTGACCTGTGTAAATGTGTGGAAAGTCGATGGATGTAGGTGGCTAAGGATTATGCAGTCTGTAAGGGATATTCATGATGCAGGTGGCTCAGGATTATGCTCGTGGCAGTCTGTAAGCGATATTCATGCCCATGTTCAGTAGTGGATTCTAACAGGAAATTAATGTAAAAGAAGCTGGTTAACTATTTTGATATTTTAACATTGAAAAAACTATTACATTTAATGCCAAACCAAGTCACATGAAGGTGTGTCGGGAATCAACTAAATGATAAACGACATTTTTATCATTTTGTTCATGTAGAACTAACTGTCCCGTAATCGTTACTCAATGTGAAGCCTTAATTATAAACGGATTTGTCTCAATCCATAGTCAAAGGGTAAAACTTTAATTTGATTAAATAAATGAAGCCATCAAGAATGAACTGCAATATGACATTTTTTTATTTTTATTTAAAAAAAAACATTGCCCTCACTTTAGGATAACATTATCCTGTATTGTAAGGACGTTTTACAAACATAAATTTCACGTGGACAAACACCCAGATGCGAAACAACTATCCGTGTGTCACAGAAATGGTGGCCCCGTGTGGGAATCGAACCCACGACCCCCGACGCCGAAGCCAATGCCTTGCCAACTACGCCACGGAGTATGGTATTAAAAAAGTTAAACAAATAATAAATGCAATAATTAAACAGCTGCTTGTAACACATTACCATATAGTATTGTCAATATCAAGGTTTCATATTTTACTAAAATATAAACAAAAAAAATTACAACCAGCACCGGGGATCGAACTCAGGTTGCTCGAGTACATTGAATTAAAGGCGAGTATTTATAATGTATGGTATCTACAGTTTTCGGTGATAAATATTGGACATCGACTTTTGGAAAGAGACAACCGGCTAATTCAGGCTTCGTAGAGAGTTGTCTCTGTCGCAGTCTTGTTCAAGGGCTGACAAACGTCACAACGGTAATTTGCGACTGACATAACGCATAACGCGTTTGACTCTTTCCAAATGTCCAAAGTTTCCAAAGTTCCGAAGTTTCCCTGGTTGTGAATTATTATACAACAAAACTTATATTAAACAAAACAACAGCAGATTATCAGGTCTACGTAACAGTAAGTCTACATTTAAAAATGCACCAGATGTTTTTTTTTAAATTAACATTAAATTAACTAACCTCTAAATTACTTCACAATAATACAACTTAGTCGTTTTTGGTCTCGGAAAGCATTTTCCCTTAAACACCTACCGGGTTTATCATGTACTTCTTTAACCTTAATAATACTGAAACTACAAATATACGTATACATATCTGTACATACTCATATATTTATTTTTACAAATAATCTACTAAGTTGACGATATATTTCGTCTTTTAGAGCAAACATGAGCCTAAGTAAAATACTGTACTTAGTAATTAATAACAAAACTAGAAGGCTTTTAGCATATTGGTGGTAAAAATATAAATAAGCATACTTAAGTTGAGACGAGGACGATAAAGGACATGTACTATACGCTAGCGCAGATAACAAAGTCCTGTTTAGCACGGGACAGAACCGTCTACGTTTTAACAGAGTAGGAGCCATCAGCGTCGTAAATTTGGTGCCTCTGGTTGTGAGGAGGCTGGGATGGAGCTCTGTTTCCGTAGCCGGACTTGCTGTGTCCGTAACCGCTGTACGGCTGGTGGTCGAAGTACTCGTGGTGATCGTGGTGATCGTGGTGATCGTGGTGATACCCGTGATCCGGCTCGAAGTGGTGCTCGTGCGAATGCTTCTTCTCCTTCATGTAGTGGATGAGCCATATCACGAAGTGCCACGCCTTCGTCAGTAGCACGTAGAAGATCGCCCCGTACACGATCTTCAGAACGAACAGCTTTGTCGCGACGACGTAGAAGAAGTGAACTGGAAAAATCAGAACGTAATGACATGATGTCCTTTTGCAATAAAAGCAATGGGTGGTAGGGCCACGCAACGAATGGGCAGATCCGTCCGCGTAAGTTCCTCGACTACAGAAGGCCAAGGGAAATGTTATAAATGTCACGCTATTGCTTGTATGCAGTATTCGATATTGCTTGAATGGACAGGTCCGTCCAAGAAACGAGCTCACAGAGGACCCGAGTGTAACAGAAGTGTTATACTTCTTCGTTTTTTCTGCTGAATGATTGACCCATTGATCTCGAACCCACTTGTGGTCACGCATCTGTAATCCTAGGAGTGTTGCAAATGTCAATGGGCGGCGACTATCACTTAACGTCAAGTGAACCGCTAGCTCACTTGCCACCTTCTCCCATAAAAAAGACAATCAGTTCTTAATACGGTCAGTAATAACCTTCCACATACATAAGTTGCTTGCTTATACCCCCTTAATTGGCGACCAAAAAGAGTTAAGGATTTTGTAGAGGGCACACCGCCAAACGTAGAAATATGAACATTCGAAAGTAAAAAGGCTTGCTAGGACCTGAGGCACCTCCAGGCAAACCAGCCGTTTCATGCATAAGCCACTGAATGACTCTACCACAGTAATAAAGCAAAGAAGTATGTATTAATTTCAAAATAAAAAATACATTAAAATAAAAATTTATAATTATTTCCGTTATTATTACAATATTCAGGCTACGCTGGCTTAATAACACGCTATGACGACACGCATTTTCCTGTCGCGAATCATGAAATCATTGACAACCTTAAAGCGCTTTTTTTCTCGAATTACGACGGGCTCACCACTTATCAAGTTTTGAATATCGTTACCTTTTACAAGTTAGGTTAAGCGTTACTAACATATTAAGCTTAAAATATGCCATTACTTATATTGTGCAAATCAATACGTGACAACGGGCTCCTCTACTGGCTCACTGAGTCACCTTGGTCCTAAATTTTCGAGGAAGTAAACATGGTATTTTGTCTTCTATAAACAATGAACGAACACTGTTGAAATTACACTTCGCGACCGTGATTTATATTTAGATCAGCGCCGGTGCCTCGCCCTGACGGATACTATAGCATTATTTATACCGCGAGCGACAGGAAATATTGAAAGAAATATATGTACTACAGAACTTTATACGCACCCGTCAGTGACGCGTGTAAGTGTTCAGTAAGATATCTAAGAAGGCGTTATTGGGCGGTCGAACTGAGCCGCCGATTCCTTCGTTTCTGTAGTAGGGCCAAGCATCGGGAACATATTTGAAGGCGGCTAATACCCATGCCATGACAACCATGGCCTTCATGCTCGCTATCACAAGCGCAATGCCTAGTACTATCTTGTACAGCCCCACTTTCGCGGCAAATATCACAGCTAGGTGGGCTGCAACAAACGAATTGGGGCACATTTACTTATGGCATGAGATTAAGGCCCAGGTGGGGGACGATTTAATAGAATCCTTGCTAGGTGGGCTGCAAAAAAGGAATTCAGGAATATTTGCTTGTGGCTTGAGATCAACGTCCAGGACGCGGACAATTTAATAGAATCCTGAGTTTAATGATTGGCTGTCTCTACACACGGTTGGCTCAAAACTGACTGTATTTGTAGATATTGAATTATAATAGAACTTTAATGCCCTTCTTAATGTTTTGTATTTAGTGGAGTAGCAATAGCGTCGCTAGAACCTTATATTGAATCTATATGACGTCCCGAATGGCGTAGTCGGTAGTGTACCTGCCTTCTGCGCCAGAGGGTGTGGGTTCGATCCCCACTACTGGAAAAATATTGTGTGATGAGCATAGTGTTTTTCTAGTGTATGGGTATTTATATATCTATAATATGTATTTATTTACAAAAGAAAAGTATGGAACCATTGTACGAGTGTACTTAGTTTGGGAGTACAGAACGTTGGTTAAAAATGTGTCCGCAGCAATTTACTTATCTGTTTAAATACCGCCAATATCGTGAAATTACTAAATCTATTATCATCAGGTTACGACTTGGCCAGGTTTTTGCGGTGTTTATGGCTAAACTATATAATAAAACCAAATATTTCTTGTGAATGTGGGTTAGATAAGGGTAGTCCTAGTAATTTACTTTATAGTAAGTAATATGAGATGTTAAAAAGTACGCAACTCAAATTGGTTTAAGCATGAAGTTAAATATTGTTATGTCCCTAACCGCATCGAGCTGATCCAAATTCACTGAGGTTCTATATTTAAAAAAAATGAAAACGAATGAATGTTTTATTTTATATACGTGATGTCAATAAAAATTTTAATCTGTCGAGACGTGATTTGGGCCACTTGTGGAAAAAAAATAAAAAAATTATGTAAACTGTACTATACTTATGTAAACTGTACGTACTATATTTTTCAGTGTTAAAGTAATAAATAAATAAACAGTGCCAATGGTAGACTAAAGTGCTTAGAAACTCACTCTCAAGTGTTTCTAGTGACGATAAATTATTTATCAATAAACACAATACCTACAGACAAAGTGATTCAACTATCCACGTTTTCAACATTCTTATAAACGCCTAGAGCTTTTAGTGTAGCAAAATAAAATTAAAACAACTTTAAATATATAAACTATAAATTAATAATGTCTAAATATTGCGAAACATTTCAAAAATTAGTAGTTAACAGACAATACATAACCTAACTGAGAAAAAGATTATATAGTTTATGCCAATTTAACGAAGCTCTTATATTTGATTAGTTGTGGTAAGGCCACACATCGCCCGGACCGGCAGTTTTTTTTTATTTTTTTATTTTGACAAAGTAACTCTACAGACTCGCCCGGGGTGGCGGAGTTGGAACTAACAGCTGCCCCGTGGAGGGCTTCGGAGGAGTGCCTTGTTCATTGCATCGACACGGCACCATGTGGGCTGGACCGGGTGCCAAAATACCCGGATTATGGAGGCCTGAGAAGGCCACAGTCGTGCCGGGGTTTGCGCCGGGGTCTGCCTCACAGAAGACCAGCGTGAAGTGGATGTATTACACTTTCCCTTCTCATCTGGTGAGTGAGGTAACGGGGGCCCACTTTTTTAAGTGGCTAGTAACGCCTCCGCAACCCGTCAGGAGTCGTAGACGTTCAGGGGCGCTGATAATCACTCAATATCAGGTGCAACGCCTGCGCGCTTGCCAACTTTTCACATAAAATAACAACATAGAAATAAATGGACATAGGTAGAGTTTCTATATATAAAAACAACAGAGAAACATAGTGAAGATTTTCAACGTCAAGCGAACGTCTTATAAAATTATAAATAAAATTAGAATCACCCACGACTGACAATGAAGTATTGGATTTTGTTTCTCAGAAGGATTAGATTTTGTTCTCATAAGAAAATCATTTTAAATGAGAAGACTCCCTGCATATGATTTCGTTAAATCTCATTTAAATTGGGTGACGATATACCAAAATAACATAAAAATGAAGAAAATATTAAAACACCTGCAAAAACCAATCAAAGACAAAGAAGACGAAATTTAAGCACCTGTTTCCTCTGACTTGTTCTTTCCGAAGAAAATGTCAACCTATTTTATTTTTCTAAATTGTTTTTTCACATTTTAAGTAATGCTTGGGGCATCTTTTTTTACAACACACAAATAAATTAAAAATATCGTTGTACAAGAATAATTCAAACGAGAGCTGTCACCAATGCTATTTAAAATTAAAATTTTTATAGTATCTATAAGACTATAAATGTAACATGTAACATGTATAATCCTTACAATATAGTACGCCTAAAGTACAATAGCTACTTGTACTTAGAGATCGACACGTGTCCTAATATCTTTATATTATTATTCTTCTGTACATGTGTATGTCACTGAACTCATCCTAAACGGCTGGGCCGATTTTAATGAAATTGTTTGTGTGCCGTCAGGTGGATTCGAGAATGGTTTAGATTCACAAACTTATTCAAAAAGTTTGGAATTTTTAGGATTTAAGACGTGTATACAGGACAAAAGTCTATCAGATCCACTAGCATATATAGATAACTTGTCGCTTATTAATTTTTAATATCAGAACATGAAATGAGTATTAATAGACAAGAGAATTTTATACTAGTACTAGCGACCCGCCCCAGCTTCGCACGGGTTCAATGTAAATTTTTAATTTCTCGACTTTTATCTTCTATAATATGCATATACACTACATTTATCCGCTTCGCACTCTATCGATTATTGAAAACCGCATTAAAATCCGTTGCGTAGTTTACATGATCTAAGCATACAAACGTCGGGTGCCACTTTGTTTTATACAGCGACCTGCCCCGGCTTCGCGCCGGTGCAATGTATTATACATATAAACCTTCCTCTTGAATCACTTTATCTAGTAAAAAAACGCATCAAGATCCGTTGCGTAGTTTCAAAGATCTAAGCATACATATGGACATACAGACAGCGGGACGACTTTGTACTGTGCTATGTAGTGAAGTTGATAACACGATGTAGAGAATCTTTGGAGACTGTTATTTGTAGGTGTTCCCATTCGATAGCTCGATGCAATCGTTGGGGTGAAAAGGCATACCTAAAACGCAGCGTATCTTCACCCACCGGGCGAAAACCGCACACCGTGTCCGGTGCAAGCCATTAAAGCCCCTATTTCCGCCGCGTTAGGCGCGAAATCGCCCGTTCGAGGAATATTACCGGCACCGTACTACGCTGAAGTGGGTATTTATACGAATAGATGTGGAACGACATCGAGCATAGTGATCGAAAAACAACAATCGGAGTTCTTCGGGAGACATTGTTCATTTTCAGCGTAAAGAGACTGTATACGTTTGTAGCATCAATTTGTTGTGCTTAGTGTTCCAATCGAAGAGCTTCGGTAGAGTGTTAACAAAAATATATGGAATGTGTCCTCTTTCTACGTGCGTGTTTTTCATTTCTTTATAGACATTATACAGCGTGTCGTTACCATCGCGACAATAAATGAACACGCATCTGACGCTACTTGTCTATAATCATAAAAAATATTAACGTTAAAAAAATCCATAAATAAAAAAAAAATTTCCAAACAAACTAATTAAGTAAAAAAGAAACAAAATTTGTAACATCCTATACAACTACAACTGACTGATTCATACATTCAGAGACTTTTTCATTCTTTGCCACGGCGTCGCATTACAAGCCTCTCCTAACAGTATGTTTTGTCTCTTTTAATTTAAAATTTCAACCCATTCAACCCATTCATATGCTTTGTGACCTTTGCAAATGAACTTTAAGTTACAGTTTTATACGTAGGGGTGTTCTAAAATTCTTTGTTTTAGAAAATTTAATAACTCTGTAAATATTGATGTTTAAAGAAAGTAATGTTTAATACAATTTTAAAAAGTTATCCTCTATATGTGTGTTCATTTATTGCCGCGATTGTGAAAGACACGCTGTATATAGTAGATGTTGGCACAGTTAGTGTCAGCAATGAAGAATATTTAATAGGTCTTAAAACTTAACAGGGTTCTCCGACGATATCAGATCCCAAAAGTTAATAGGTGGTTAGCTGGTTTTGCTAAATAGGAGTTGGTATAAGAGATGTCAATTCCTGATCTTATACAATATTGAAGTAGTTCTTACTTCATCCATTTACGAGAATATGCTTTAAGTCACACACTTGGACGAAACACTTGAATCCCGTGTCAGTTTACTAAGTTGCGACTAAGAAACTTCAAAACTTTTCAGCCAGCCTATCTGGGCAGCAGCAGATGCCGGTGGTAGACTTAACGACACTTGGAATAGAAGAACCCTTCATAGGGTACTAATATGAGGCAATCTTGTTACACTCAACATATCCGAAAAGTGGGAGCTTAAGTCAAATCAATAATTGACTGTTATAATGCAATAGACTTATAAAAGTAATTAACAGAAATCCCTGAAACTTACTTAACAACGCGTACTTCGCTTTGCCTCTTCCTTCTTCGAGTTCTTTCTCCGTTTCTTCGCTGTTCGCCAAATGAGCGAAAAGCACTATACAAAACAGGACGAACCGATGCATCTTTTTATCTGCTCCGGGAACAAAATTTACCAACTATAACTGTGACGAATTTTTAATATATCTATCGTTACGAATTCTAAATGCAATGTAACGAGGAACGTTTGCAAGTACACTGGGCAGAGTTTAAAATTGTAATGGCACATCAGCCATACGCAACCTCTTTGGTCCATACGATAATGAAGCGTTAATCAGTACAGTCAACGTGAAAGTGTTGCGTCGTACAAAAGTATTACGTAAACAAATCTCACGTTATTCAAATAAAGAGCGTTATGAATTTCACGGATGCTGTAAGCCCTGGATCGTTGATACGTTAGGTAAATAGGGTTGGCACTTTCTTTGGCATTTGTAACTTTTGGTCAAGGGGCAATGCAATTGTAGAGTAGTAATGTAAAGATGATGTCAACTTTCATCAAACTTTTGTTCTTTTGCATTAAATAAACAAGCGTTTAGTTTATCTCTCGATCCAGACATGTATTCATTATTAGCAACCAAATGATTTAATGAATGAAATGGTGTATGTAACAGCTCACGACAATGAACTTATAGTATTATTATGAATCCCAGCACTTTTAGATTAAATGGATATTTGGCAGTAAACTAAAATAAGAGTGTTCACGATCTTCATGATATACAAGTTTAGAAAGTAAAATAGAAGCCAAGAAAACAAATCAAGTTCATGGGTTCTGGCTATCTGATGTTATTTCAGAATTAATGAGAGATGAAAAGATGACGTCAGCCTCTTACCACCTACATAATTTAAGATGAATTTTTTGCAGAAACTGGATACTGCGCTATGGAAACTGGAAGAAGCTAAACAATACGTTAACTTTTCTGCAGTCAGCCAGAAGTCGCTTGCCAACTAAAACCGAGCCAATCCTTCTTAAGAGTCATCTGGAATCGTCTGGCTTCCAGACTAGACGACTTCCAGCCTCCCGAACAAGCCGGATTCCGAAAAGGCTTCAGTAACATAGAGCACACACGCACCTTGCGGCAGATTATACAGAAGAACCGAAACCGAAGAAAGGTTCTCGATGGCAGCCTAATCTGCCTTTGTGCCTAGCGTATGTGGACTATGAGAAAGCCTTCGATTCTGTCGATATGAGCTATAGTAGCTATAGTAGAACCGATAACCGTTGGGGAAGAAAGGTTCTCGAGTGGCAGCCTCGTACTGGCCATCGCAGTGTAGTACGACCCCCCTCTAGATGGAGTGACGACCTGTGCAAATGTGCAGGAAGTCGGTTGAAAATAGAAAACTGCGCTGAGAAAGATATCTGACAAATTTCTTTTAACAGCAACAGACCAAGTATTCAACTTCCACATCTTGATAAACTGCAACAGTATTTGCTTATAATATTAGTTTGTTAGTTTATGCAGCTGAGGTGAGGGCATGTCAGAGAAACTGTCATTGATATTCATAATAATACGTATAGTATGACGTTCCTACATTTACTGCATGTAATAAGAGCCAACACATATTTTACTAGTGCCAATAAAAAAAGAAGTTTTATTTTCTAAACTTTGTGTACCATGAAATTGTTTGCTTTTTTGAATAATATATTTTAATTTACAATATTGTACGAACTTATTTGTTCGGTGTGTACACATAACCTTCATAAAAATCGAAGAAATAAATACTATTTTATTTGAATTTTCTAAAAGAAAAATGTTAAAGAATAAAAAACATTTCATTGAATACAAAGAATACTTAGTCTTTCTACTTTCAACCTTCATTCTACTTGGAAATGCCTTTACCAAAAACATTAAATGTCCTTTGTCAAGACGTTTTTCAAAGTAAGTGGGATAATTTACAGTAGTTGAATTAAATAAAGGTGATATTCCAGTGAACCCGCGTACATATCTACGCAACAACTCACTCTTACGGATGTGTCGAATTTTCCGGAACGGTTTATTTTAGAAATGAGAAATGTTTCGCATTTACGTGCTCAGCGATTTCACCAAAGAATATCGTTCACGGATATCCGAGATTTCTCCGAAGGCCGCTTTACGGAGCGGTTTCCATTTTGACTCGAACTCTCACGTTTCATCCCCCAATAGAGTTGATGGGGATTATCAGAACTATCCACTTTTCACCGGGATTGCTGCGTCCCAGACGTGACCGCGATTTTCTCGTTAGAAAATTCCGTTAAACGACCTCACCTTGCTAAGCGTCTTTGGGATTCTAAACTGCGAATTTAGACACAGATTTGACACCTGAACGCGTTCACCCATAGATAATTGGGTAACTACTTATGACAACTTGTTGTTCGTCCTTAGTTATTGCAATTTCAACTTATTTCTAAATAAACTGAAATATGAAACTCGAAATGCACTAACTATATTTGCCCACACCATCAGGTCAATGACCTAACGTTGTTAAAATATTACCTATATATTTTATGAAACCCTTATATTCTTCTATGTTTCTGTTTCACTTATTTTTTTAAAGAGGGTCCACAATAGCACCATAAATCACACACTTATCTCCATTTGAAAATATGATCCTGAGCTAAAAAGGTTTCAGATGTAATTTATCACTTTAAGTGGACAGACCAAGACTCATCGGCTCTAGTGCGACATAACGGAAAATATTACTATATTTTGCAAATGTATCACTTGTGTTCTATTTACTATAAAAGATTTAAAAAGGCAAGTTAGGACAGTGATGTAAAACTAATCACAGTCATGGACTCCGTAAAGAACGAATGGGTAGTATTGCTCTGCACTTGCAAGGCACTTGGTTCTTGATGACTTTATACAGAACAAATTTTGTATGTGGCACTATTATAGAAACAAGTGCGAGTTGGATTCGCGCACAAGGATTCCGTACCATTATCTAAAAACCGGTAAAAAATCATGTTTGTTGTATGGGAGGCTCACTTAATTTTTTTTTATTATTTTTTTATTATAGCGACAACAGACATACACCATCTCTGAAAATGTTAACTGTCTAACTATCACGGTTCATGAGATACAACCCGGTGACAGACGGACAGACAGACAGACAGCGGAGTCTACGGGAAAATGGGACCCTATTAGTATGGTCCCGTTTTTCCCTTTGGGTACGGACCCCTAAAAAAGGTAACAAGACTGCAGTTTTTCTAGACATAGTTAAATCAGTGAACTAGTGGTAATTTTTTGACAATCAATAAGAGCTTAAAACAAGCCTATATTGACGCCGTAATTAAAAGCCGTAAGATCCGTAAATCTTAAGTTTTCATTTAAATATGTGATTCAATTTATTATTCTGTTTATGTCGCTGTTAAATGCGGAATTGCTTATTTATTAAAGATCTCGCTGCAGTAAAAATTGCCTAGTTGTAAGCAACTTAAACTACAGTGCAGATTGCCTGGTGCCGTTGAAAAATTCAAGTGAATTCGTAATGCTCCCTCAGTGCAGCTCCCATGGGTCCTAGCAGCTTTAACGAGAAAGGAACATTCGTGGCTTTGTCTTTTTAAAGTTTAATCTTGCTTTGTATTACAAAGTAGCTCAAATGCTGGGAGCCCGTTTTGTCGCGTGTATTTTAATTGCTTTAAAACCATTTCACCGCTGCATTAAAATTAATCGACTGCAGTACAATAAAACAAATTACCTAAAATTGTTTATTTTTAATGGAAAAAAGGGGCAAATGAGAAGGAATGTCACCTGATGGTAAGTGATCACCGCCGCCCATGATCATCTGCAAGACCATAGAGGTTACAAACGCGTTGCCGGCCTTTAAGGAAAGAGTACGCTCTCTTCTTGAAGGATTCCAGGTCGTAAAGGTTCAGAAAGGCAGCTGGTTGCACAGAGTGGTTGTGCGAGGCAAGAAATGCCTGGAAAATTGCGTTGTCATGGAACGCTGGACATCGAGGTGGTGTGGATAAAATTTTTGTCCGATAGCAAAATTCAGCCAACCGGCATCAATCCAAACAATTTCTCGGAAGACTCCCCGTGATATATGCGGTAGAAGATGCAGAATAATTTTATATTTAGTCAACAAATCCTATTTTTTTTTCTCGTCTCTGACAATCGGGGAACAGAAACTACTGAAAATTGAAATGGCTAGTTTGGGGAAGTTGCTTAACTTCATTGCTGTTGACCGTTGGATCGTTCCACACGGGACGAGTAGTTGTGTGTCTCATAGGTAACTGTTTCGCAAAATCTTGACCTGCTAACAATGATGTATTGGCGTACAAAATAGAAATAAACGAGAAAATTTTGGCTTCGCTAACGCAAAGCTCGTGGAAAAGCCAAATCCCAAGAGCTTACTACGGCTATCCGCGTTGGGTTGTGCCTGTGTATGTATGTATTTATGCGTAGATGGATTGGCTGTGTATGGATGGGTTGAAATGTCACCTTCACCTTTATGCCATCTAGGTTTGGCATGGACCGTGACATCAAATGCCGTTGAATGTATCATTCTTTGGCTGAGGGTGGTTACAACCGACCGGGAACCCGGGCGTAAGTTGCGTAAGCGTCGAGTTAATTTCGCCGCGTGCCATTCGAACTATTTGGCTGAGCTTGCTACCACTATAATTATGTGTGTACAGTGTTGTTGAAATCCCTCGTGGGTCCGGAATACTTTCGCTAAACTGTTTGTAATGACCTAAGGCACCCACTAATCAGGAATGGAAATGTTACAAGTGTTATGAATATTTACGCTAACCAATAAAAATCCATAAAAAATCAAATCTATATCTGCAAATGTTTTACTTTATTTTAGTTTTTATTTGTACATTTTGTGTATCAGTGGCCAATATTTGCCAACTTTTTTGCAAATCCGCGGCTGCTACTTCACGTCACTTTTAAGAGGCCTTTTTTATTTTCCAGATTTAGCCGATCCAATTCTAAAACACGTAGGAGAATGACGACTACTATATGCTCATGAGGTACAGCAAAGAACACTATAACTCAAATATTGATACGCCTGATGTAACCTGGGTCGGAACAATGTAACGTAGGTACCATGAAATAATAAATCTCAGTCCCTTCTTCCTTTCTCCAGTGAAACTTGACAGATTACTTCCAACCGGGAATAGGGTATGATGGACGATGACAGAGTAAGTAAATGATTGCTTAACATCGGCCCGTCTTAAGTTATATTTGATGAGGTTAGTTTGAATGATTTAGGCTTGAAATAATGAATAATATATTCGTTCAAAAATGTCTTAAGGTGCACAATTTTCTGATCTCATGACTGTCTGTATTTTTGTGGCGGAAATCTTGTGAATCAATCAACAATTATTGTTAAAAAAGAACGTTAAACCCGATACATATTAATGGTATTAATATGTACATACCTGTCTTTCCTGACGAGATTTACGACATAAACCTTGCTTACATTTCGTTTTTTCTGTTTTAGACTGAATTATATATTTTTATTAAAAGGAGATCGTATTACGAAAACTTCGCTTCAAGAGAAACATTGAGTTATGCGAAAATGGATGATTCTTATCAAAAAAAAAAATAAAATGTACAAAAATTGTATGCCCCGAACAAAATTTAGAATAAAATCTTAAAATCGATTGAATATGGTGACTTTACTTCGCCAGCAGAAACTTCGTAACTTTGCTGTGGAGCAAAGTTACCTTTTTTCTAGAACGGAAATTTCAAACACGCTTGCAATAAAAATTTACCTCTTTGCCTTTGGGAGTGCAGGAAAAGTGTGTATTTTAAAAGTTTAAATAAGTTTTTTTTCCACAAGGCTGAAATTTCACCATATTTTAAAAATTACCGATTAGAATCTTCCACTACTGAGTCAAACACAAATACATTTAAGTTTGTCTTAAAAATTTCTTTAAACTAAAATATCATGGGGTCTTTGACATATTATGGTTCACTAATAAAAATTATTATAAAACAAAAATTATTAGCTTTAAAATTTTTCGAAAATTTATAGTATTAAAATCGGATTTAAATGTCATCTTCATTGCAAATAAAAAAAAATATGAAATATAGAAACATTCAATAAACCCGAATTATGCAAACACTAACTTTCAGAGCTATAAAAATATTATTTACATGTTTAATGCTCATCTTTATTTGTTTGGTATAGTTTTCAGATGTACTTTACATAATATATTCCAATAAATTGGGTTTGTTTCCGTCAAATAATTGGGTCAAAGGTCACGGGGAAGAGGAGTTTCCGCAATAGTTCCAGAAGGGTCGCTTGAGTTAAATTATGCAACGCAACTTGCTATAAACTAACAACTTCCTTTTTCATTGGATATTCTATAGTCCCTAGTACATCATTTATAGGAATAGCTGGCAAATAAATGTATCACCTAATGTTAAGTGGTAGCAGCGAGTCCGACTTTTTCATGTGAAAAGTTGTCAAGAGAACAAGTGGTTTATCTGATGTTAAGTATTACCGCCGCCCATGGACTATTGCAAACCCATAGGGTTGCAGATACGTTGCCACCTTTTAATAAATTGGGCCCTCACCAGACGCAACGCAGAAGTACCTATAACATTTCCACTTCACGCCGGTCTTCTGTGGGGCCGTGGTGCATACATCCCCGGACGGAACTGCCTAAAGACCACAGTCGTCTTACAACGGTGAGCATATTAACTTTATTTATAATGACCATATCTGCCTACCCTCTCACTTCCTCGCGCGAGCGATTTGGAAAAAATTTCACTACCATCACCTCGTGATTCTGATTGTTATCCTAATGTTTCTTAGTAAGACGTTAATTTCATTAACACTGCATAATATATCCAGTTCTTGGTACTTTTGCACCATAACTTACTCACATTGTATCTGGAAAGCCAAGAAAGTTGGCAATAAATTTTAAAATAAGGCGAAATGGATGTCGTTGTCCCACGACGCTCGCAGTGCATGCAAACCACTTTCTGAATATTTCACAGTGCTATTTAATTTTCCCAAGCTTGCGTCACTCGGTAGTGTAGAAGTTTAAGACTAGAATAAGAAGTGGAAAACAACGGTGATTAATACCAAATGCATTTCTGGACTCTTTAAACTTGTACCTACAAGTTTACTTGAACTGAGTAATAACTTAACGTTATTGTTGTTTAATTTAAAAAACTATGTTGCAAAGTTACCACAAAATATATTCATGAAAACTCCATATTAAGTCAGCGGAAAATTTTTCCAGGTGACATATTATTCGTACGTGTTTCTTCGATACATTTGTAATATCCATAAGTCCTTCATCATACGTGGTGTTCTAACATCAAATTATTTTTTCGAACTCCTTTTTACTATCATCCCATCAATTTTGGATCTCTAGTTAGGAGGCTGTTGAAGAATCTCATGTTCCTCAATCTAAATCTGAAGCGTCCCTTCTTCTTCAGGCGGCCCATGTGCTGCAGAGTCCTGACAAGTGGAAGGAAACGGTACATGGCGTTCAACTGATCGCCCAAACAGAACATGAACGAGGACTCGATATAGGAAGAGCTGATCGCAGTGGGGCTCTTATCCTCCCATCGCATCTTACACTGAGCTACGTCCATGAAGCAGTGGTTCTGAAACATTAGGGAGGGTTCACGGGCGACGATTCCCGGGACACCGCACACAGGCGCATAAGTGTCCGGACACTTGGTTGGGCACTTGTGGTAACAGGAGGACAGGGTGGGGCTGTGCATGTAATCATCGGTGATGTTGGTCGGTATGGTGGTCCAAGGTTGAAACACCTTAATCGGTCCAGCGATACTTATTAGCCGTCTGCGCGTGATCTCGTCTACCAGGTCTGGGCTAACTTCCCGCATCGGTAAATCCAAAACGTGAGTCGCCGCAAAGAATGTCTCTATCGACTCGTTAACGTTTTCACTACCCATCATATTAGTGTCAACTATCACTAAGTTTCTGATTACATTATCTACGAGACTTCCTTCAGTCGTTTTCGCTGCGTTCGTATCCTCATTCAATTTGAGTGTTCCATTTCTGAAAATGCTGTCACAGATAAATAAATCGGTTTCGACAAATGTCACATTTGACTTGCAATTATGACTGATAAGTTCACATCGGTTTGCGAATAACCGTACTTTGTAGCCAACATCGTGCTTTTTGATAGCGCAAATATGTTTCACGTTATTCATAAAAGTGCAATTGATATGTTTGCATTCATTAATTTTATCGGATTTTTTTACATCTTCAGGCTCTAGGTCGATTCGATTTTCCGGTTTCAATGGAATATTCGAGAATGATTCGTTTGAAAACGATTTCTCGCAATACTCCAAATTAATTATTCCGTAAGCATTGTCACGATTCACTTGGCAGCCGTACTTCAGCAAATGGCATTCGTTCTCAAACAACTTCAAGTGGAAACCTTCTACTTCCTCTCTTATTCCGCAAACGTTCTTGACGGGCCAATCATCGCAATTGAGACTCTCACAGAAATTGTTTTGTTCTATGTCCATATGATTACATTTAACCACATAAATTAAAATAACGAATAGGTACTGTTCGTCCATGGTTTTGAACTTTAGTATGAAATAAACGTATTATTTAGTACTGTCGTGATAAGAATAGAATCGCTCGCGCAGTAAATTACATTTGATCGATTTAATTACAGTTAGCAATAAAACGAGCTTAAATACGTAGTCGCGTAGAAAATATTTCCCTTCCAATTTCGAAACAGGCTTAGTTGAAGGGAGTGTTTTCTAGGATCTCGTGATAAAATCTCAAAAAAATATTAACTACTTTCGACGAGATCGATAGAACATGGCGAGTTCGATTTTACTTCTATGATGATGTAATGAAAAGAAATGCCCGATTGTAATTTTGTTTCAGTCAGTACGAGAAATAAGCAACAGCGTACTCTATAGAGAGGACACCTGCGTCAACACGTTTAAAACATGAGAAGTAAAAGACAAGTAAAATTTTTAACAAAAAAAAAAACAACTTCAATCATAAAATTAATTAAAAACATTGTTAATACCTATAAAATTCAATGATGGTCATTGATTTCTCCGGGATGCCATCATCAGTTCCGGGTTTTCTTATCATGGTACCACCCTTGGGATATCTCCTTTCTGACAAAAAAAACAATCATCGAAATCGTTTCATAAATGACGAAGTTATCCGAGAATACACATAAAAAAATATATAGGGTCGAATTGAGAAACGTCCTCCTTTCTTGAAGTCGGCTAAAAACATGAATTTATTGAGAATTAAGTTTTCTTTAATACCGTCGTTTCCAAACTCTATAGAATAAATATTTTATTATTGTTTTTAGTCTAATCTATGAAGAATGAGTTTAAAGCGTCTATAAAACTATCAGCCCTGACAGTAGAAGAAGATGCAGCTTATGACTATATTATAGAGAACCCCAAGTGTAATATTAAACTTGACCCACGTCAAATCCCCGAAAATAACACTGATACCATCCAATGTTTTAGTATTGAAGATTCCTGAGGCTTTTTAAATAAATGAACGTCTAAATTTCATCTTGAAATTCATATGATTCGTAGAAAAACCAAATTCACAAACACATCAAGCTGTTTCCGTGCTACGCTGTTGCTAAGTGGTTGTTTTTTAGTTATACTTGTACATATTTATCATTAGTTATTTTACTTCAGATGATAAATTCGTACATGTTATGTTATATATATATATATATATATATATATATATATATATATATATATATATATGCATAATATTGCTTAGGTATATATTATGTCTTCTATAAGAGTTCTAGCGTTTTTACCTTGATTATAATATTTTAACTATTACTGAACTAGAATACTAACAACTGTTATAACGACAAGCAGCACTATATCACCGTCCGGGAACGCAGCCGAAATGCAAGTGACCGCTGCTACATGCGACCATGTGTCCCTTGGCTCGAGTGGATAACGTTATATCTAGTATACAGTGTTGCCAGCGCCAACACTTCCTCGTGTTTTACTTGGAAGCTAGAAGACGTTAACTGTTAAATGAGGTTCCGTGTGAGTTTCAAACGCTTTGAAAGCAGCAACTGTATTCTAAATTGTTGCACAACCCCTGTAGCCATTTAGTTGTATCGCAATTGTGGCTTTCTGCCAGCCAATGCACCCCGTCACATGAATGTAACCGGAGTTGTGAGCAACTAGCAGCGATAAATCCGAAGGTAAACTCGGAACAAGCTGCATAATGCAATCTACGTAGGAGTTGCAAGGTGAGCAGTGCACTTATTGAAGCGTGCCTAAATGTCACTTGCCATTTTTTAAACCGACTTCAAAAAAGGAGGGGGTTCTCAATTCTACTGTATTTTTTTTGTTTGTTACCTCAGAACTTTCGACTGTCAGAATCGATTTTCATGATTCTTTTTTTTTTTTATTTGGAAGCTGGTGCTTCCCACGTGGTCCCATATTATTTTATATTGGATAATATTGGATCTTGGGCTCCGGAGATACTATGGCAACTCCTAAAAATCAATAACAAAATGAATATAGAGCGAGATATTTGATGTCGTATTGTTTTTCGTTAATAAAAATATGGATTAAATATGGACCATTGCATCTACAAACCTTCAGGTGTCGTAGAGGTCCGTGGGCGGTGATAATCACTTAACGTCAGGTGAACGGTCCGCTCGCTTGACAATTTTTCACATAAACAATATAAAGTGTAATTCGTAATTCTTTTTAATTTTGAAATCGTGGTAAATTTTATTTCTTTATTTTCGTATATTATCAAGTGATTGTTGGCTAATGGTTAAATTTTAAAAAGTTAGCTCATCGGGACGTTATTCTAAAATCAATTACAAATTTCGACCCCAATAGACATTCACTAAATCAAGTTTTGAGAACGTGATCACTTTTTGTGTATAAGTTGAAAATACTTACGAAATTTACGATAGTCTAAGAGAAAAATACCTGAAACCAAACTTCCCAGTACTATAATCCCTTTATTCGCAATAACTTAAATTTAACAAATATTTCAATTGAAATCCCCCAACACTTGAAAGTTTTAACTCAAGACAAACCTTAATTTTAGTTTAAATTCTCTCAAACAGATGGTGATATGCCAGTAGTTCCGTAACTGTGGTTGAAAGCTGCCGAGTTCTTTCATCTTAAGTTTGTTCGCAGTAAGTTGTTAGTTTTACGGTCGATTTTGAAGCAGAGGAAATAATAAAATACGGTCTTCTGTGTTATTTTGTCAACATTCTATGTATTCTCATCAAATAATGGCTTTGCTCAGTAATAGTTTAATGTCGAATATATTATGATATGGTAATGGTATTTATTTATTTAATTGCACCAGAGTAGACACCATAAAAAATTATGAAAAAAGAAACTACCCCAAATTAAAGGTACAAACAACATACTACATAAACAACAGCATTGCTAATTAAGAATTTCATTTAAAATACCAATAGATAATTAAATTTAGAAAAACAAAAAAAAGAAGAAAAAAGAGATCTTTGACGCTTTAAAAATATTTTTAGAAACGGTAAAATTTCTAAACTTTATTCTGTTGTACTTACTCAGTGAAAATGTACAATTTATTGGAAAAAAAACGGCCAAGTGCGAGACTGACTCGCGCACGAAGGGCGCCGTACGATTATCTATAAAAACGGCAAAAAAAATCATGTCTGTTGTATGGGACGACCCGAATGGTGTAGTCGGTAGTGTACCTGCCTCCTGCGTCAGAGGGTGTGGGTTCGATCCCCACTACTGGAAAAATATTGTGTGATGAGCATAGTGTTTTTCTAGTGTCTGGGTGTTTATATATTATGTATAATGTGTATTTATTTACAAAAAAAAGTATGTTTAAGTATGTCTATCAGTTCTCTAGTACCCATAGTACAAGCGTTGCTTAGTTTGGGACTAGAGAATGTTGTTGTAAAAATGTGTCCTAAAATATTTATTTATTTATTTATTTATTTATGGGAGCCCCACTTAAACATTTTTATTATGATTTTTAGTATTTATTGTGATTCCAATCAGCCTTTTGCAGTCCACTGCTGAACATAGGCCTCCCCAAGAGTACGCCACAGAGTACGATCTTCCGCTTTCCTCATCCAGCCACTACCAGCGACCTTTCTCAGGTCATCAGTCCACCTGGCAGTGGGACGTCCGACACTACGTTTTCCGAGACGTGGTCTCCATTCGAGAACCTGTCTGCTCCAGCTATTATATTATTTATTGTTATAGCGGCAAATAATAGAAATACATCATCTGTGGAAATTTCAACTGTCTAACTATCACGGTCCATGAGTTACAGCCTGGTCACTGACGGATGGACAGACAGACAGACAGACAGACAGCTGAGTCGTAGTAATAGTGTCTCGTTTTACCCTTTGGGTACGGAACCCTAAAGAGAGAAACGGAGGCAAAGTGACTTATATTTTTTTAGTCCACGCTTTTATTCTGCGTTTCGTCTGGTGCGTGAGGTAGCCGGGGTCCACTTTATTAAAAGGTTCCAACGCATCTGTTACCTTAAATGTGTCGCAAATGTCAATGTGGGGGGGGGGGGGGGGGGGGGGGGGGCGGGGGGTTCACTTGACATCAAATGAATCGCCAGCTCGTTTGCCACCTTCTGACATAAAAAAAAACTTCTGACATAAAAAAAATTGTTTTTGGAAGAAAGGTCAGCTGTGTCATTAAAAACCTAGCACTTCCCAATTTCTTGTCTTAACTTTGGATTTCTCTTTACATAATTTATATATTTCTACCTAGGGTTGTTTAAGTTATGACCTCATCACCGGCAGAGGTTAAGGAAATATTATACACATACATAACACAAAACAAACAAGAGCTAGACACTAATGATAGTATTATTCAGTTACTTAGCTTACAATAGTATAAGGGAAATAAATGTAAGATTAGTAACTACTAGTTGGACCTTTTTTTTATATCGGGGGGGGGGGGGGGGGGGGGGGGATATCTTCAAAAGATACCCTGTCACCTTACATGACAGGGTTATGTGGGATCTTACCCACTAAAACCCCCTCGGTGGCCACCCACTGTACGTTTGGATGGACTCCGGGATCTCCCACGGAACGCACCGGTGTCCCTCAGTACCACTATTTGGACCTAGGTCACCTGTCATGAAATGATGGGATATCCTTCTTAAGGTCATCACAAATTATCAGTGAGGAAATAACCGCTCAAACAATAATTGAATCCATAACATAATGATAATCCAATAGATAAGTGGTTATTATTATCTACGTGTCAGCTTTGGTGGGGTACGCTTTAACCACTGTTTGTTACTGTGCTTTCAATACACTATCGTTTTCTACTCAGAAGGGTTGGATATATTTTAATTTCCGCTATCGCACAAATTATTTATTGCAAATATGACATCTATTACTTAAGCATTGGTTTGAGTCTGTTGCTTCGGCATTTTCGACATGCGTTCCATTAAAGTTATCCTTTACCCACTTCGCCCCTAAGTTGTACAGTAAGGTCTATGGCCATATTAATTGAATTTGTTCCGCGTGTAACACTAAAAACCGGCCAAGTGCGAGTCGGAATCGCGCACGAAGGGTTCCGTATCATTATCTTCAAAAACGGTAAATAATCATATCTGTTGTATTGGAGCCCCACGTAAATATATTTTTAGAAAGAAAGAAAAAAGAAAGAAAACATTTATTGCTCAAATACGCCACATGTACATTTAAACCATAAACAAAAAACACATTCTAAAAAGAAAAAAAAAAGAAGAATAAAAAAATATTAAATACATTACACATTTTACGCACACAATTGCGTATACGGCAAACAGACCGCACTCAGCTTAATGCCGCAGTCGATACGAGACTACAGCGCTGGTTTTCAGTGGGCCTGTGAATTTTTTATTATTTATTTTGATTGTGTTTTTTAGTATTTGTCGTTATAGCGGCAACAGAAATACATCATCTTTGAAATTTTCAACTGTCTTACTATCACGGTTCATGACATACAGCCTGGTGACAGACGGACAGACAGACAGACAGCGGAGTCTTAGTAATAGAGTCCCATTATACCCTTTGGGTACAGAACCCTAAAGAGAGAAACAAAGGCAAAGAAACAAATATATTTTTACTTCACGTTTTTATTCACCAACCAATCGAAGGCTCCACTGAGTTCAGACGCACCAGGGTAGCCGTTTTCCTTAGAATGCAAATCGTTATCCGGTGGGCCGTAGCTGTAGCCGACTGTGTTGTATTCCGAAGGCGGGCCGTAAACATTCGAAGGCATTCCTTTAGACTTGCTCTTGAGGAAGTAGTTCAGGAACAGCCCGATCAGATAGAATAGCTTCTGGAAGAACGCCATCATTAAGAAGACGGACGCCGCCTTGAATATTGCCACTTTCGAGAAGATGAATAGGAGGATCATACCTGGAATGGAAAGATTAATGATTTCAGTCCATATCAAATGATATGATACATTTGAAACTTGAAAATTTCTCTCCTCTCTTAACACAATTAACTGACTCAACGTAAATATTTAACGAAATAAAATGATATTGGAAATGGTGGAAACTAATTTATACGTTGGATTAATGGAATAGATGGTTTCCAGGTTTCAAGAGTAGGAAAAAAGCATTTCCGAAACAACTATATGAACAAAGCTGCGTATAAAACGGGTATGCATATAAAGCGACATATTAGCCTATCGCCCTTTAAATCTGGATTGTAAAGTATGACATATGCTTTTCACATTTCATGAAAGTAATCTAATCCCGCACAAAAGTAAACTGTATAAGCACAAGTCTGCGATGCACATAACCGGGATTTGAACCAGCGTTCTCATATCGAGTATCATCATCTTCGGCAACTACGTCTCCATTGTTTCAATTTTGTGTGCAAAAATTCACAGACCTAGACTTGAATTTTCTCTATTCTCATCAAAAGACTTTTTAAGAATTTTCTCTAAGTGCACTCCTGAATTTGGCAAACCAAAGCTGATGATGAGATAGAAAGAAAGCTGGTAGTAATAAGAGAGAGTAGTTACCAGCTTCGGACTGACATTCTCAAAACTACAGAAAATAAAAGTGCTTTTCATTTTTACGTACCAAATCCGTCTGAATGTTCCATAACTGTAAGAGACTGCGGTGGACATTTTTTCTATTTTGTGCGAATATATATGCACACTATGATAAAACTCATTTACAGATATTGCCTCTATTCATCTAAAATCGCTGGAGAGATATTTGACGTCAAGATGACCAAAAGGTTCATTGTTTTATAAAGTAATCAATCGATATAAAATAAAGTTAAGCATGTTGCATTTAAGTATATACCTACTTGCTTGGCTTTTCAGACTACAAAATGCAGCAATCTAAACATTAAATACGATTATTTATGGATTTAATACAATTGATTCTCTACATTTGCAAAGTGGGCTCAATGCAACGTTGAAATTTACGTACCACAATTCAGAAAATTGGAATACTTAAAGAGAAAACTTTGTGATTGTGATACTGTTCGTATGTTGTTATTTTATCGAAATGACCACTGAGCAATGCAAGTGGTGGTTGGTGACCGCCACCCATGGTCTGGGCCGGTGGAACAGTATTATTAATTAGTTTTACTTAACGCTGGTGTATTAAATTATGTATGTATGTTTAAGTAATTATATAGTAATACATATAAATATTTTAATGTAATAATTGCACCTACCACCACGCTTCTCACCACGCCCTGGGTTGACTGGGAGAAAATGCCAAAAGGCATTTGTAATCCTTTTTATTTAAAGGTTGCAATAATGTATAAATAAATTAATAAACAATAAAATCTAAATACGAAGTACCACGAACCAATGACATGTATTTTACAAGAAAGCAATGAATCTGAATTACTGACCCTGAATAAATGTGCTACGAATGCCTGTGGCGAACGGTCTACGCTACTGACAACTTAATGAATATGATTTACGGCCGCCGGGGGATCGAGGTTTGACGTCACGACTCAGTTAACATGATCCGCCAACTCTTAATCATTAATAAACAGGCCGCCACTAACCGAAGCGCTGTTAAATTATTCTGTGCATCACTTTGGTTATGAGCTTTGTTAAGCCGCGTATGATAAGCGCATTTAGTTATCTCCCGGAGGCAGAGCGCCTGCGATTATACTAACGCCGCGTCTGCCTTAAATTGCTTCGGGGAGCTCTTGCTTGCGTTGCAGAGATGACTAATGCCGTTCGGTCCCGCTTGTTCCCGTTGGATACTAACAGCTTTAAAACTAAATAAGTCTGTCTTTTCACTGAGAAATATTCACCAAAAATATTAAAGTAGTGAAAGCAGCTGATTCCTGATCTACCGTTACTGTTCCATTCAAAAATTTTAATACGAATTTATCAGTGCGTGTATCAATAAACGCGAATACTTATAAACCTTTTAGTGTAGATAGGGCGAAAAATTGTTCACCGCTAAACGGATTTCAACCTACACCTTCCAGATTACGAAACGCTTTAGCCACTTAGCAAGTGTTCGATATCTTCACCACGTGAAAATGTTGACATTTTACCTTCCTTCTCTTTATTGTACTTTTAGGAATGCTTAGCGACATGTAATGAGCTTTCTTAACAGCAAACACTTTCCCAAATTACATTTTTACAATGAATATTTGAATTTACCTATTAAGTTTCATTTTAGATGTAGTCTATCACGAAAATTAATTAAATTAACTAAACCTTAAAGTTATGGCTGAACTGTTGTTTAATTGTTGTCTATATTATTTTTCGAAAGTTACCAACTATTAATGATGTAAAACACGTCGGCGAAATAAGATAGTCGTTACCTGGTCATGATCCGAGATAAGCGAATGTAATCAAAAACTACCTAACACAAACACGTGTGTAATTATAGTTTCTGAGAAATTTTGAATTTAATTTTGAAACCAATTTCAGATAAACTCTTGCTTAACACACAAAACATAATTGAAATAATTGAACATTTAAAGAACAAGTTTTCGATGTAATATTGCTATATCTAAGGCCGCTTTATTTAAACGAATTTAAATTCGAGAACGAAATATACTCTACATTACATACGTTCAGATCCAATCCTAACAGTATGTAAAAAATCAAGCACACTTCCAATACCTAGTAATCGGGTTGAGCTCTTCTTCTTCTTCGCTCTTGTCTCTTCTATCAGTAAGTCGCTGCTCTCCATGCAATAACAACATCCAACAATTAGTACCACTACGATTACTATCTTCCACATATCTGCCATATTTAAAACGTTCAATGAATTATTTCAGTAAGTCCCTTTTGTTATCAACTTTAAAGGTTGTGTCTACGTTCCGCTTCAGAAGATTTATTTTGGTTTTCTTAACTTATTTTCAACACTCCAACGCCCTATGTTCTCGGATGCGAACTGGTATGGACTCAGCTGTCGCGACATATAAATAACATGGCCGTTTTTAATACGGCACATACTATTTGTGCGGAAGAAAGTCGCCCTTTGTTTTTCGTCAAGTCAAACAAATTACGACTGCCTTTCGCTGAGTGGAACTAATGAACTTGTACGGAGCCAATTACAGGCTCTTTGTCGACCTGACGACGCGCCACAAGTGTTCAATTGTGGACGCTTGTAAAAATTTCACCGCGTATCCGTTAACGGTGATTTGCATCACAACAATCTGTTTTCCGTGCGAAAGGAAGGATTTTGAACCCGAAACGAAACTGAGATTTAGATGGCCACAAAATATAACAGAATAGCTTACTAGGTTGCGCGAAACATTTCTTAAAATGCAAAATAAAAATTATATAGTTGTCGGGAAAAAAATTAAATTTATCTATCAATCTCACATTTAGAAGTTATCACTAGGTATACATAAAATTACTATTGAGAAATATTACGAAGCATTTTTACTAATTCGTGTAGATTAGTGGACTCGTGAAGACACCATATTTAATTAGGAAAAAAAAATTAATTGAATCTCATAATTTTACAGAAAAGTGGTCACTTACATTGTCTTAATACAAACATTTTAAGAGACAGTTTACGTTTTTGCTTCGTTGACGGATACAGTACTATAAAGGATACTAAAACAATATAAAAACATAATTCTACTTGATGAGCATGCATAATCAATAATTTCTAATATTTGGAGACAAACTCTTAACTTTATTGCCTTTGCACAAAACTTCATCTGCATAAAAAATTGTAGAAAAAGTACGAAAGGATAGTTGCCGCTGTGGGAATCGAACCCACGTCTTCGGCGTTCGCTAAACGGCTGATTGCCACACCGAAAATCTTAACGTCTTTTATCTACATTGTTTTTATAGTATTTGAAGCAATGCTTGGCGCATCCATTGTTATATCCTTTCTAGCATACAAACAATTCCGAAAATCGTTTTACAACGATAATTCGAACGAGAGATGTCGTCATTGCTTTTTATTAAGAGTTAACTTGTGTCAAAAGTTTGAAATGTTCGTCGTTACATATCTTTAAAGCAAAATACAAAAAGTTTCTACTTCAAAAAACCGATCATATAGCGTACCCTATATTACACATGTAGTTGCACTATCGGATCTCACCGTATATACCGCTTCTTCGAAGATACGTTATAGTCTTTGTTATTTGTTATAATGTATTTTTTTTTTATCGCACTTAACTTTTGTATTTTATAACCTTTCTATTTTTCATATTTTAATGTTATTTCTGTTCGTTGTATGCATAGAGCTGAACGCCAATCATAAGGTACCCGCAGAACACCAGTGTTGTGGTATTGTCTGCCACAGCTATATACTGAGCGGAGACCTTTTTGATGCATTCATTTTTACAATCCTAGTGTTTTTCTTCTCCTTAATTTTTGACCTGTAATGTAATGTGCCGAATAAATATTTCTTTCTTTCATTCTTTCAAGTGCTTATGTCTCTAGTTGATTAGTGTGGGCTTTTTAATACTTTGTTTGTTTTGAATAAAGATTTAAAGATATATGGAAAAAGTGCTTGAGTTATAATAGTAGTACTGATAGGTAGTGCATAACGTAACCAGTGCGTGCTACCATCGATGACCTACGGTGCCGAGACGTGGTCTCTCACTATGGGCCTCATAAGGAAGCTTGCGGTCGCACAGCGCGCTATGGAAAGGGTCATGCATAGGGTTTCTCTACGAGATCGAATCAGGAATGAGGAGATCCGTAGAAGAACTAGAGTTACCGACATAGCAGAGCGAGTCAGCAGGCTGAAGTGGCAGTGGGCAGGGCACATAGCTCGAAGAACCGATGGCCGTTGGGGCAAAAAGGTTCTCGAGTGGAGACCACGTGACGGCAAACGCAGCGTAGGAAGGCCTCCCACAAGGTGGACGGACGACCTAGCCAAGATCGCAGGGACGCGTTGGATGCAGGCCGCTAACGACCGGTCGAAGTGGAAGTCAATGGGGGAGGCCTATGTTCAGCAGTGGACGTCCTACGGCTGATATGATGATGATGATGATGATGACTGTTTAATGACTTTTACCCATCATGGTGCTAGAAATATAGCATAAAAATGCCTTGATATAATGTACAATGAATATACATACTTATACAAAAGTGCACTTGGCTATCACTGCATTAAAACACATAGTAATTTTATATCTAACTGACCAAATCGTTTTAAGCCGATCCCAACAAACGATTTCAATCCATTTTTAACGATCAGGGATCGAAATTTCAATCAATTTGCATAATTTTCTGTTGCAATATCCGATCTAAAGACTTCAATAACGATTCATAAACGCAATCTATCTATGGGAGTGAAAGCTTACGTGTCTCTACGTTGGTCACACTGAAACTTCTTAGAAAATCTTAAAACGGCTCAATGTAGACAGTTACCAATACTTGTATCGTTGTTCATATTCTACTAGTATTCTACTCCGTTCATCTCTATACATCTATGCATTTGGTGGAATCACTAAGAAAAGCAGTGGGCCAATTTTTCCTTAGGGGTAGAGAGCCCGGCAGAAGAGTCTGGGGCATTTTCGAACGCACTTAAAAAAAAAACTAAAAAGTCACAGAGCGTCAGGTTGCGAATATATGGCGGATTTGCCATTATCTTGACACCTGCTATGTTCAAGTACCTATCCTCCCTTTCGTGGAGCGCGATGAAATGTTGTCGTGGTAAAAAACTTTCAGTGTGACGTCATTCCCAATGATGATGAATTTGCTTTCAAGTACAGATCAAACAATTTATCAATATATTGCGGTAAATGTACTTGATATACACGAGTCTTTTAAATTATAAAGTACCTGGAGGACCGTTTTTTTCTTTTTCATAAAACGTGTTGTTTGGAAACAAAAAAAACTAAAAAATAAAGAAAGCAATGATCTGGTATAGAACAAAAAGTAAAAAAAAAAAAAGTGTTTAAATGATCGTGAACGAACCGCGGCCTTCTGTTTCGGGGCCGCCCGATTACTTACCGAGCTGTTATAACATTTTTTTTTTGGCGAAATTTACCGTCATATTTAAATGGTATTTTTCATTCCCTGAAAACAGGGATAAAGGAATATTTTCTAAAAATTACCTAGCTAGAACGATTTTTCGCCCCCGAATCTACGCACATACTAAATTTCATGAAAATCGCTGGAGCCGTTTCCGAGATTCCGATTATATATATATATTCCGTAGTTTTTGGTACAATACACCTATTAAATACATTATTAAAATTTAAAAATAAAGTTCATAAAATTAAGACTTAACGTACTACAACATTTAAAAATCAATGTTCTCAAGAGACGGGCTTTGAACGTTGTGTAGCTCTACGTAGAGCGACTCAACCTCAGAAACTGGGGCAGACTGAAATCCGGTTGCGAATTCGCTACACGGCCGCTTTGCGGAATCGTTGCCAGTTGCCGACGCAGCTCGAACCTTTTTTTTTTTCAGCTCGAAACTTCGGCTGCGAATAAGGGGAGCGACGATTTTAAAACTACCCCCACGCCAAGCTTTTGACGCTGCGTATCGACACGGAACCCGCGCTTACAGTAGGTCGAAAGCTTTCGAAATATGTTCGCAATTCCAGTACTGTACGCTTTCAAGTGAAACTTACCCTTGTACCTCGTAGCCGTAACATTTAATCGAGGGGGAGAGTTTTGTTAGCGAGCACTTCGAAATGCTTAGTACCCAGTTACTGGGTTAAAGCGTTTGAAGCGAAGATGAGTAATGGATGCACTGATTGATCATGGGTTACGCTTAACCGAAAGGAAAACTTTTACTCAGCGACTGGTGATTATAGCGTAGCTGAAAGTACAGTTGGAGTCATGAGTTTCATAATCGAACTCATAAGTTTTGATGACTCCGTGGCGCAGTTGCCAAGGTATTGGCTTCGGCGTCGGGGGTCGTGGGTTCGATTCCCACACGGGACAACTATTTGTGTGACCCACAGATAGTTGTTTCGCATCTGGGTGTTTGTCCGCGTGAAATTTATGTTTGTAAAACGTCCTTTACAACACAGGATAATATTATCCTAAAGTAAGGGCAGTGTTTTTTTTTAAAAACAAAAAAAAAATAATAATAATAAAAAAAAAAAAAAAAGTTTCAATTGTAATTTCCGTCAAGTAGTACACACTCAAGCACGCGAATGGTAGTTCACCTGATATTAAGTGATATCCACAACCCTTGGCATTTGCAACACCGCTTAAAGTGGGCCCCGGCTACCTCACTCACCAGACGAAACGCAGAAGTATAACACTTGCACTTTACGCCGGTCCTCTGTGAGTTCGTGGTACTTACCCGGACGGACCCCATTCGTAAAACAGAGAAGACTGTTGCGTGGCCCTACCACAGTAATTAATTTTTACTAAAGATATATACTTCGTTTCACGGCTATAGTGTTCCTGTCGAACGTTACATCAATTCTATTTGTCCATAGAAAATTAAAATGACCTCACCCATTTGTATGCCCTCGTTTTTCGCTTTTAATATTTATTCATTATGGAATACAGAAATTGACGCGCAACGGTCAATTGGCGTATTTGAATTACAAATTGAGCGAACACTAACGGTATTACGTGCGGCAAAATTGAGGTTTACTGCAGCACTAGTGCTAGGAAATTATGGGAGCTGGGAACGTGTAGACTACTGGTACACTGTTCATAATTCTTTGCTTGACGTTAACGAAAAATTGTAACATTTGAACATATTATTAGCGAAGATGGAAGTGTTTTTATTATATTTAAATCATTAAA